CCAAAACTTCCGACAGAACTTCAGGAGAAATTTCTTAACAGTGAGGGTGACAGAGCACTGGAACAGGCTGCCCAGAGAAGTTGTGGAGTCTCCTTCTCTGGAGATCTTCAAAACCCGCTTGGATGCAGTCCTGTGCCACGTGCTCTAGGTGACCCTGCATGTGCAGGGGGTTAGACTAGATGACCTCTAGAGGTCCCTTCCAACCTTAAGGATTCTATGATTCTACGAAAGGTTATTTCCAGAGATAGGAAGGACAGAAAGGCTATTCGGAGTAGTCAGCATAGACTCACAAAGGGGAAAATGTGCCTAAGCAATCTGACAGACTTCTATGATGAGATGGCCGGCTTGGTGGTTGAAGGGGAGAACAGTCGCTGTTGTTTACCTTGACTTCAGTAAGGTGTTTGACACTTTCTCCTGTAACATCCTCATAAGCAAGCTGATGAAATACAAGCCAGACAAATGCACACTGAGGTGCACTGAAAACAGATTGAATGGCAGTTGGAGGCCAGGTACTTGTAGTGTGTCCCAGGGGTGAATACCAGTGCCAATGACTTCATTAATGACTTGGGGGCTGGGACCAAATGCAGCCCCAGGAAATTTTCGGAAATTTTCAGAAATTAGAATACTCAGAAGTGTCTGATGATCGTACTAAATGGCTGTACTCTCCTATTCTGAGGGACATTCACAGACTGGAAAAGAGGAACCTCATGATATATAAGAAAGGCAAGTGCAAAATCCTGCGCTTTGAGAGAAATAACCCCTTGGATCACTACAGATTGGGGTGACCAACTGGAAAACAAGAGAGACATGGAAAGACTGGAATGTGAAACACTGTGAGGGATCATGACAATGATTAAGAGTCTAGAGCAGCTCTCATACAAGCTTGAGAGAGCTGGGAGTGTTCGACTTGGAGAACAGAAGGCTTATCATATATCTTATCAATGGGTATAAATACTTACTGGGTGCTGTGTAGACACTCTGCTCTGGTTTGGTGTTGTTCTGTCCAGCTATGTGCTTCTGCCAGGAAACAACATCAACCTTGGTCTGTCATCCCACTGAGTTTCTGCACGTGCCAAAGGACTTGGCTGACTCTTGAATAAGACAAATCTAATATGAACCTAGTAGAACTACAGAAACTGTCCACATTGCTCCCTGGCAGTGATTCCTGAGCTGGAGACATGGTGGGACTCCTTCTTCTCCCCTCTCTGCACTATGTTGCCAGAAGGAATATCAAAATGCAGATGGAGCAGGCAAGAAGAGAGAAGACAGCCCTTCCCATCCTCCATCCAATACAGATAGCGTAGATCCCATTGGCCATCTTTGGGGCAGTCCTACATGCTCCAGAGTGCCTTAGGTTCTAAGTGGGGTCATATGTCCAATCTGTGAGGAGACCCTAATACAGTGATACATCACAGTTATGGAATTACTTAACACACTGTAAGGACTGGGTGACAATGCAGTCGCTCAAGCATCCAATAGGAGCAGGCACACAAACACAAGGCACACTGTGGTCAAATTCAGGCCTTTATTACCTCTGCTTCTGCACAGGGTCTCCCCACTTTCCCAGCAGCAGGAAGAAAACAACAGACGGATTCCAGGAGCCACTGAGCGCTGGTCCAAGGCAAGGAGCAGGGGAGAAGAGGAGAATCTATGTTCTGATACAGCTACTAAGTGTGTGGTTGTCCCATGTTACAATTCGATTGGTGCTAATAGCAGGTAAACAGCATGTAAGCATCGTGTGGTACAGTGTACGATTACGAGCAAAATCTGTGTGCGTGGTGTACGTGACAAGGCCGTAAGCCGAGCATGGGAGTATACTGCAGTTAGGTCAGCGTGCCCCAGAACAGTCTGGCCAGTCCCCGTCACCTATCTCCTCAATAATCTTCCACATCCAATTCTCTACACACAATAATGAATCAAAAAATAAATCTTCTCCTTGTACTTCTAGTTCTTCTCATAACCTAGCCTTGCTTTCCAAGCAACTTTGCCAATAAATCCTCACCTTACAGCCTGGCTGTATGTTTTACTGACACAAGCAAACCACTGGCCTTGAAAAGCTGGAAAATTATTTTTTGCAGAGTTTCAAAGCAAGGTGACATGGTGGAGGTGA